GATCCCAAGCTTGCGTGGGTTGTTGTACTACATCAAAGTTGCTAAGATAAAAAAGTTTGCTGCATCGGATGTGATTCTTGCGCCGGATACATACAGCAGAGGCAACAACAGCAGACTACGGAGGACGTTAACGGGTGGGTACATACGTACGTGCGAGGCTTGCTTATAATCAATCTTCTTGAGTTTTCTCTCTTCTTCGGTGCTTCGCAGACTTTTCCGGAACAGCGCGCGAGCCTGTTCGCCACTTTCCACTCACTAGAGCCTGTTCGGCGTAGTTCACTGCAAAAAGGAAGCAAGAGAAAGAGATAAGGTGATCTGGCCTGGCCTTGTCCAATCACGACCGCTTGCTTGGTATAGTGCCTCCCACTATTCCTTGTTTTTGTTTTCTTTTTTTTCTGATTACTATCACTACGCCACTCTCTTCTTTTTAGGCGTGAGTGCTTCTTGGTGGCCTCAACTTTCCTTGGTTCGTGCGGTGCACCACCAGCATATGACCTCCACCATGTGTGCCACCTGCAAGCATTTTCTTCCATGGGAAGCAAACTTCTCGAGCTTTTTCCTTCCTTTACCAAAAAGTTGCGCATTCTTTCGTGTCGATCCCGCCTTGCCTTTCTTTCTTTTCTTTCGTGCGTCCAGATTGCGGACAGGCTGCCTGCGGGAACATGATTTACGTGTGAACTAAGCTAGCCCAGGAAATATTGTCGCAAGCTCCCAACCTTGTGCCTGCCCCCTTACTACATCTCAAGGTACTGCAACGCATAATCCTCCTTCTTGCCTATACTTTGTCACCCGCCACAATCATTTCAATTGCCTCATGACGTGTGACCGTGAGAGGATCAACATTAAGCCTACGTGCTTGGTTTGGACTGGTACCGAGGTTAGGCGATGGAAGCTCCAACTCAGTCTGACATGGGAAGCACTAACGCAGCCTGCTTTGGTTGATCGTACCCGAGGGCTTTCAGAATTGTATATTTCGCGAAACACAAGCTGACACCACCACATTGGCCAGGTGATGTCAGTTTCGATACTCGTAATCCGGTAGATAGTGTTTTCGAAGCATCCTCAAGAATTCCAATCATAAACTTGTTTGCTCTTCGAACAATATCCTCCTAAACAGTCGTATGTACCTAGTTTCAGTCAGCTATTCAGGAGGAGTCGAAGACTGACCCTTGCTTGACCAGGCTCTCTCAATCGATCTGTGACGAGCTAACGATGCAGGCAACTTTGTTTTAATCTCTCTCTCTCTCTCTCTCTGTCGATCATGTCCATGTGAGCGACAATTACGAAGGACTTGCAAACACCCTAGATTCGTGTCAGTTTTCAAACTCATCAGTTCGCATTACTAAGCAGACCGCGGGATGCGATCTCGTCCACCTCCTATCGCATCGATCTAATGCTGCAGATTCCATGCTGCTTGTCTAGGGACTGATCAGCTGACGAGCACTGAGAGAGGGTGCATGTGCCAGGAATGAACAAGCGTAGTAGACCCTTCACAAACGAACAGGAGTGTCCCTTCACAATCCATTCACAAAAAGAACAGGGATTAACGCATCGAGCGCTTAATGGGTTTTGGGGCCGTACGCTTCCTTAGTCGTAATCTATTCAGAAGAGTGTCCCTTCACAAAAGAACAATGTTTTAAAAGAGAATGCCCATGCTTGGTCAAATTAGAATCTTTCTCATCAACAAATGTACGTGGTGCCTTTGATTATATCAACCACTCAGCAAATTAAGGAGAGACAAGTGCTAATCTGTTGGGTAGCAGCATAAAAGAGAAGGAAGCATGCATGGTGTAGTAGTAGTTTATGTTTTGCTCACATCTGCCTACCATCTATTCCGATCCTCAGGTGGCTGGCCATTCTGGAAACCACTGCTTGCTTCCGCTAAGATATCCTAATCCACTCTCACTAGTGATGGGCGAGAGTGGCCTTGTGGACCAATGTATCTCTGTGTTGGTGCATGTTCCCTCCCTCCCTCCTTCCTTTTGAGCGCTGCAAGGCCATGATTAGTCGGCCGGGTGGGAGGGGATGAACAAAAGTAAAGGAGCACTGTACGAGTGGCCAAAATAATTGCCAAAGGACTCGATGAGGGACGCCACCATAAAACAACGTCAGGGTCCCCCACGTCGGTGCACCTAACTATACCATTTGGCTGGTTTGAGCTTATCGTACAAGGGTCCTACGCCCGGACTCCATATCCGGTGGCCTTAGAACCGAGAAGAGACAGTACAAAGGGCAACAAGTTACACGAAGACAAGGAATTAATCAATATCCCGGCCCGTAAGAAAAAGTAAATATAAAACAAATTAACCGTTGATTCTTGGGGGATGCGTTTAGAATTGATTCATTATAATTATCTAGGTAGTTATCATGTTCTAGATAGTTTTAAGCATGTTTCAAGAAGTGATCAATGATCTAGAATTTATAGGGTGGTTCCTATATAAGTATCTCAATCATAAGTGACATGGTGGAGTAAGGTAGTTACCACTAGGTCTTATAAATAGGATCATAGTTCATGAAGCAAGATAGACATATAATACACTTGGGAATATCTTGTAAGTGTTCTATATCAATCCTTTTGTTTTAAATACTATATCGATTTTCTTGATCGAAAGGATTTCTTTTACTTGCATCGTAGTATTCTATTTTTATCGTTTCCTTGCTCTTCTATCCCCAGTATCATCATGGCAGGGACGCACCGTAAAATCTTCTTTTGTGTTTCTTGCGAGAGAGAGAGAGAGAGAGAGAGAGATAAATAGATTATCTTATATTGCATCGATGATCTTCTTTTGTGTAAAATCCAATGGGAACCTGCACTTGCGTGCTCCTCATCACGTGGTGTAAACTGCATCGATTTGCAATCTTATATTGGCACTGCACCGCGGTACCGCCATGAGGCTGGAGCCGTCGGCACTGTTGTTCACATTCGGACATCATCATGCATATAGCGATGGAACCTGCAGGGATGAATATATAGTTTCCAGCGACACCCGATGGATTACAAGTTCACTCACTACCTGTTGTCCTCCTGCTCGCCACACAGCAAAAGGGATCGAACTTACCGCCCGCAGCTCCCAGGAAACATCAGCAAGCTGGTTAAGGTCCCATCGCCTTACGGACACCCCCGCAAGAGAACAGACGGTGAAGGGACCACCAACAAACGCTTCATGAGCTGTCGTAGAGTGAGAGATAACGTTCAGGGTCACGATACATACATGAAACTAGTTGGGAGTCGTGTATTAGTATCATCAAATTTCTACGTACGATAGTCGGAGTTGTTTTTTTCTTTTCTTCGCCCTCGCTTCTTCAACCCTCTCATACACAGAATGTGTTTGTAGTGATTTTGAGGTCATAACACTTGTCATTCCCTATTAATTGTATCGCACCAACCGACCACTTGATGGACCAACACGATCCCTGTCGAAACTCTTAGTGTGCTCCCAATTCTCAGAATACGTGCTACTTCCAAGAGAAAAAGAAAAAGAAAAAAGAAACTCCTTTTAATCTTAGTTTTTTGTTTCATCGATTCACACACGTATTTTCTTTCTCCCATCAGTTGTATATATACACACGATGAAACGAATCAGTGTGGAGGCGGGGTGACGCAAGGAGTCTGCAAGGAGTCGTCCCAATGTCCGGCCAAATAAAATAATGGTCCTCCACCGTTTTTCTCCGTCAACCAGTTTTAGTTTATTAATATTTATTTTATTTCAGTGATGGTAATCGTCATATTCTTTTCCCTTTGCCGAGGGAATGGTAAAAGTCATATTCTATAATCACACTCGTTTTGAAGAGTGGAATCTCTTGAACTTGGCGTCGACAGTCGCTCGCTCGCTCGCTCTCTCTCTCTCACTCTCTCTCTCTCCGTGCCGTGATCAAATCAGAAACCCTGTAGCTAGCAATAATAAAAGACAGGACCACGTAACCAGCTGTGTTCACAGCATTTATGGGGCATATTGGACTCTTAGCGATTTTTTTTTTTTTTTTTTTTTGAGGAAAACCTTTCGCGGTTCATTAATCGACTCAAACGCATCGAGGCATAGACGACTTACTGATTCTCGAGTTTCGGCAGGTAACTCGAAGACCTACCGATTCTCAAGTTTCAGCTGGTAACTAAGATGATGGTAAGACCGGTCGGCAATTTGAGTTTACTTTTTGTTTTTTGTTTTTTTTTCTCATCAGAGTTGGTTGGGTAAGATGCTAAAGAGGTTCTAGGGAACCGAGAAAAGAAGTCCACTTTGGACTCCATGAACCAAAGAAAAATATAACATTAAGGGGAACCACGAGGACTGGAAACTAAACAAATCAAAAGATGAAGTGACCGGCGGCATGGTAACCGGAATTGGAGCTAGGACTGATTGCTTTCCTTTTCCCACCTATCAATAAATCATGATACATATGCACGAAAATGAAAGAGAGAGAGAGAGAGAGAGAGAGAGAGAGAGAGAGATAGCGGTCTACCATGGGTGGGGTGGAGGTGGGGGTGGGGGTGGAGGGTTGGGGAAACCCACCTTAATTACTTCACCAGCGTGCTCCCACGTTACCATGCTCGAAAAGTTCTCCTTGTCAGAACCCATTACCATGAGTTCCGAAGCGGACTCGGAGAGAAAGCGAGAGAGGCAGAGCGCGGGACCACACGAATGCCCAGGGAGGAAATGTTGTGGAGTTTTAGTAACTTTAGGTTTGTAAGCTTCGGAGTCGGTGCCCAGCGTTGTTGGTGGTGGTGTTGTGGTAGTGGGGTTGGAACTCCATGAGCAGCACAGCAGTTGGCTAGAGGTGTTTAATTGGGAGTGAGTGAGAGAGAGAGAGAGAGAGAGAGTCTGACTGTGGGGTTGGAACTCCATGAGTAGCAGCAGCTGGCTAGAGGTGTTTACTTGGGAGTGAGAGAGAGAGAGAGTTTGATTGTGGGGTTGGAACTCCATGAGTAGTAGCAGCAGCTGGCTAGAGATGTTTACTTGGGAGTGAGAGAGAGAGAGAGAGAGAGAGAGAGAGAGAGTTTGGTATCGCTGCGGAGAAAAAAACAGCCAAGCCGTGGGGAGTTTTTTCCTTCTTTTTTAATGCCCAGCGAGAGGGCCATATGATGATCATACAAGAAGAAGACAACCAAACCCATGTCCACAGATACAGACAGCTCTAGAAGAAGGATCGCAGCTCCAAAATTCCCCGGGCATGGCTTCTAGCTGCGCCAAACCTCACCTAATCATTTCCCTCTTCGTTGGCTGTCTCCTCCTTGCTTCTCCCGCTCGTCCCGCTGTCTCGCCGTCGGCGGCGGTCAATAGCACGACACTACCAGTGAAGCACAGCAGGATCAGCGCCCATCTGAAAAGGGTCAACAAGCCTGCCGTCAAGACGATCGAGGCATCCATCCATCCTCTATCGTTTCCGCTCTCCCTTGTTTTGTTTGTCTTCTCCCTTTTCCTCTTCCTGAGGGATGTCGCCTGTTGTGCATGCAGAGTTCTGATGGTGATCTCATAGACTGCGTTCCGTCTCATCTCCAACCAGCATTTGATCACCCGAAGCTGCGGGACCACAAACCTTCGGTATGTGACATCTTCCGCATCGAAGCGCTCACTGATCAGGTGCTAAGGAGATGGTTTGATGCTATATCTACAGTGGTTGGTCGGTTGCAGGATCCACCCGAGAGGCCAAAAGGCTACAGCTTGAGCAGCACGGTGGATGCCAGCTTCCAGGCATGGACCATTTCCGGCGAGTCGTGTCCCGAAGGAACCGTGCCGATACGGAGAACGACACGGGAAGACATACTAAGAGCCAGCTCGGTTCAGAGATTTGGGAGGAAGCCTGCGGCGAGAAGGTTGCGCCGTGATTCGACGAGCACCGGGCATGAGGTAAACCTTCTGATCTTCTTCTTCTTCACCGAGGTTCCATTCACCAGTTATTATTATGACTGACTAGTTCGATCAGAATTAACTGTGTTTTTTTTGGGGGGGAGGCAGCAATCGCTTCGTCTTTGCACGGATCACAGGAAGTAACGATTTTTCTTTGTTTCCATCCCTCTGGGTTTCCAACCTGTATACCCCAAAAAAAAAACACACATTTTTATGGTCCAGTGTTCTTAGCTTAGCGACTAACAATAGGCACTCTTTTCCCAGTAACTCATGGATTCCTTTGCTGCACGGCCCCAAGTCTCGGACTGCTCTAGGAGTTATGCAACAGTCCTTCCCGTCGTCGTGTAGGCCAACACTGCAATAAGTCCCGCAGTCCTTGATTCATGGATAGTAGTTGATGAAAATGAGGAAAATGCACACCAAACCATGCTCATGAAGAATAAGAAATGATCACCCTCCATGTGCATCTACAGCAGCAACCGGAGAAAGGGACCAAATCGAGGTGGAGGTGGCCTTTGACTGAACTAATAGTTAATTCATCGATTTCCGTGGTCATGTAATTAAAAGCCTTCGCTTGGCCGGACATGAGCGAAATCTCAAAGTGTCCAACCAAGTCCTATTGCTTGTTTCACTTATACCAGTCCATGAGAGAGTGAGAGACCCTTCATAAGCTTCCAAGCTATTGTTTCGTTTCTACCAGTCCATCGGAGACCCCTTCATAAGCTTCCAAGCTAACTTCGTCGTCTCTTCTGCGCACACTGACGTGGGTCATTAATATTGCCTCATGCTTGCTGCAGCATGCTGTTGGGTATATCATCGGCGATCAGTATTATGGTGCAAAAGCCAGCCTCAGCGTGTGGGCTCCGAGGGTAACAAGTGCGTCCGAGTTCAGCCTGTCGCAGATATGGGTGATCTCAGGCTCCTTTGGCAACGATCTTAACACCATCGAAGCCGGATGGCAGGTAACGACAAGTATACATGTTGCATTTGTTTATCTATGCCTGCCGACCCAGAGACGTTCCCCTGTTTTTAGAGAACACCTCTCCCCCACATCAGACTTGTTTATCTATGCCAACCTTTTCTTTGTATGATTTTGTATACATATATATGTATGTATATATGTATATATTTATATATATATGTATGTATGTGAGTCGAGAGGTTTTGCACAATGACTAGCGGGACGGTGAAAAAAGAAAGCAGATTCTATGCTCCGCATTATGTTTCTTTTTCTTCTTCATGAAAAGAAGCATATATTTCTTAGCTGAGCTTCCATATGACGAAAAATTTGCCACCCCTTTTTTGCCTGTTTCTTTTTTGTGTCTTTCAAGGGATCGAGTCGTTTGGTAAGGCAGTCTACTTTTTCTTCAGGTCAGTCCTCAGCTCTACGGAGATAACAGGCCCAGATTTTTCACATATTGGACGGTGAGCACCACTGAACTTTATGGACGTGATTAGACGAGAAACATATTACTATGATGTTGTGCATGCCTATATACGAAGATGTTGACTAACAATTACCCATCATCTCTTGATGTATAGAGTGATGCGTATCAGGAGACCGGTTGCTACAATCTCTTGTGCTCAGGCTTTGTGCAGACGAACAATAAGATCGCCATCGGAGCAGCAATCTCGCCGACATCGGCGCTGAACGGTGGCCAATTTGACATCGATCTCCTCGTGTGGAAGGTGATTTCAGACGTCTTGTTTTGGATCTCGTCTCTCTAATCTTCCTTCCTAGGCTGCAAATAGTAACCAGAAAAAGGTATTATCTGTGGGGACACCATGATCAGGACCCAAAGCATGGACATTGGTGGCTGGAGTTGGGGTCGGGACTGCTGGTGGGGTACTGGCCATCCTTCTTATTCAGTCACCTGGCAGAGCACGCAAACATGGTGCAGTTCGGGGGAGAAATCGTGAACACGCAGACATCCGGGTTTCACACATCAACCCAGATGGGCAGTGGCCATTTTGCAGGAGAAGGTTTCCGCAAAGCATCTTACTTCCGCAATCTGCAGCTTGTGGACTGGGATAACAGTTTGATCCCCTTGTCCAACCTCAGGCTCTTGGCCGACCATCCAAATTGTTACAGCATCCAAGGCGGGGTCAACGGCGTCTGGGGAAACTATTTCTACTATGGAGGGCCAGGGAGGAACGTGAGGTGTCCTTGAGAGAGAGAGAGAGAGAGATGAGAGATGAGAGAGAGAGAGAGCTTGCCTTGTTTCTTTCTTTTCCGGAATTTTACAATTTTGGGTAGGTTACATCGGGCCATTCTTAGATTTTTTTTTTTCCCCCTTTTGGCTGGGCATTTCAAGCAAAGAAAGGATCTCTGTCGCTCTCGCTCTCTCTCGTACGACTTTTGAGGGCTCTGTAAATGCAAAGGTAAATATATATATTCTTTGATCGTGTCTTTGTCCAAAAATGAAGTTAGTACATGCAGATTTGTGGTCCTCCCAAGCTACAATGTTACTACTGTTTCTGCCTGAGTTTTGCGCAAGTTTGTAGAAGCACGCACAGCTCTACTTTTTTTGTGTCGATCAGAGAGCTGTCTCCGAAGTTGCATTAATGAAGAAAACAAAACACCCTATAAGAAAGTACAGAGGCCCATAACCATTGCCCAAAGTCGTCATGCCACAGGAAACTTGACCGTGCATCAATCAGTTCAAGTGGTTACACAAAATCAAAAAGATAAAATCGCACTTTATTACTCTCCTTTTGAGTCCCAACAACGCGTTCGTTGGTTACATTCGCCATCGACGCCAGGGGGAAGGGGGAGTACACCGACCGGAAAAGTCCAATTGGATGCACAACCAGTGAAAAGGGCCCAAACCTTGGCGTTCATATTCCGATTAATCATATCCTGAATTAGGTGCAACTCTGGAATAAATTATTGCACCTGATAATGAATGGATTACGCACAATATAAAAATGCCCTGATAATAAATTACTGCACCTGATAATGGATTGGGGACAACTGTCTCGCCCAAACTGTAACTCTGGAATATTAGCATCCCCATGATGAGTTCGATCCACACAGAATGTATACATGCAGTTATAACAGTCGATGAACTTGATTGAGGGAAACCAAATGAGCCATCACAAGAATAAGAATCTCGGAAGAACTCGTCTCCATCGAAAGATTAAAGGTCATCGGGTGTAAACTGAAGATGTTGGACACAGATGCTGTCAGACTTTAGCATTGGGCCACAGATAATAAGAATCTCGGAGGAGGCTACGAAGCATGCCGCAGGGAGTCGCTCCATCCCAAACCAGCACAGCCCTTGTTACCAACAGCACGCAGCGGCTCCAAAATACCTTTTCTGCTATTCCCTAGACCTTCTCCCTGAGTAATGTTCAAAGAGAGTAGCTTGAAGAAACACAAAATCAAAGACGAAGCACATCTACAGACCACACATGTCGAGAGAAAAATACATAAGTTCATTGTAAAAAATAAATATCATCCGTCAAGCATGGGCCAGTCGATTATGTTTTCTGACCTCAAGCAACCGGCTTATTATCATAGCGTACCCGAAAATAATTAATTAATTTCTCATTTTAGTTTGTTTCTTCTAAAAAGAATTTCTTTGGTTCTGCCCCTAGTGGACTTGGACATCAAGGCCAGCAACAGGCCAGCAGCAACCTGTTACTGCCTCCTGATCCACAATAATTAAAAAAAACTAAATTATAGATTCAACTTAGGTTATAAAGAACCATCATTCGATGACTTTAATTTTGGTTTAGGTCGACTATACACATATATCTCTAACATCATACATAAAAAATCAGCCAGCTAAATAACATTCATTCTACAATTACCACATACCTGATTTATATTACACTCGGAACTAAGCTACAGAATTATTTGAACATAGTTAAGATGAGTGGTAAAAAAACTGAAATTTGAACTTACATCATTCCACCCCATGTTTTCTAGAATTCTTCTGGCATAACTTCCACTTCCAAATGACATATTTATGGCTTCTGCAGCAGCATCTTCTGCACTGGAATATCGTGAAGGTGAGCTTGCTTCATCAAAAGATCTATTCTCAGTGTCCTTTTGTCCAGGACCTATACTGAAATCACCATATAACGTTCTCCTCGCAGCAGCTCTATCTTTATAAGTAAAATTTTGGTGCTGCAACACAACTTAAATATTAGCAAGCACCAAATATGCACTATAAGCTGAATGCTATAGCAATCAATATTCAATTATACCAGAACATAACCATATACAACACTCGGTGATTAGCTAGTCAACGTGATAAAACTCATGCACATTCCTGAAAAGGTTACCATACTACATGAAGAATTACATTTTCCGCAAACATGTTTTTAACATAGAAACACCTTTTTCTTGTGAGCTACAAAGTCAAAAGACAATTTAAGAAACATTGACATAATAACAAGATTTATTTCACCACATGTGCTGTTGATGTTAGTGCATACAAATAAATTTAAGAACAGCATGTTTCAAACATTCATAATCTTCCTAAGAAATCTTTAATACACATAATTTCATGCCCTAACTCACCAATGGATTTTATTGTTCTAGAGACACTGAATTTTAAACACAAATATAAAGACATTTGTCATTCAAATTTAACATCAATTGATGTCACTGATCCTAGTAAAAAAGAAACAAAATTGGTGGATTTAGAATATACCTAAAAAGATAAAATAATGCTTATGTTGTATGAAATCAAACACCCATTGTGCAGTATCATACAGAACCGAAATGAACATAGAAGACAAGTACCTTCTCCAATGTGTTAGGAACTTTGTCAATCATAGAAGACGATACTTCACCAATGACTTCATTTGCAAGATAGGATTGGCATTTTGGATCCAATGTGTGAAACACAACACTCTGAAAATTGGCATACAAATCAGGAAAACCCCAATCCTTTGTGGGGTTGGAAGAATCAAATGTTGATATAGAAGCCAAGTATCTTCTGTTTGGGCTCCTCAACCGGTAAACCTTTCCTGGAAATAGGAGGGTGAAGGCAACAAACTATCTGATCAGCAATCCATAGACATATCTACAGAGAGAAAAAATATAGAAAACAAAATATCTAAAGTTAAAACCAAAAAAACAACTCCAATATGAGTGGGTAATTCAGCTGGCTCCCACTGTGAGGGTCAAAATCTTTATTGCCCATGAGGTAATTAAGCTTCAAATGAAACACCTTTGTTGTTCAGCTGGCACAGCAAGCACATTTTGCAATATGGTGCACTAGAGAAATATGGTAACAAACATATGCCTTAAGCTTCTTTAGCTGTTTAATTACAGCTATCTTATAATTGTGATGATAGTAGTAGAACCTGAATAGGCAGCAATATCATATGTAATAAGCTGAAAAGGAACATATAAATCTAAAGACTGGATTCCATACAATACAGGCAAGAGTGTACATAAAAAAATTTATGCATAAGAACTAATATTCAAATCATAGAAAAGGGAGGTCATTTGAGCAGGGAGATACTTCCAGATGGAGTCAACAATTTAGCATAAGCTGCATGTTCCAGTACTAACTCCAACAAAGAATTATATATCAAAAGAGTGAAAGAGATATACCTGAAGCAACATGCACCAGATCCAGATGAACCGCATCGATGGCAGCAGTTTTCACAAGACCACCAGCAGACACAGAAGGATGCAGCTTGTTAGAACATCTAACCGTCCTGCCAATCAGTTTGGAGACTATGTTGCTTTTCTTCACAGGTTTAGTAACCATCTCCCAGTCCCAAAGATCAACAACTGGAAAACACGGCATGCCCTCATCATCAGATCTAACTACTTGACCATATTGAGCCTGCCAGTTTTTCTCCTCTGATGAAGCATCTGCATTGTGATTAAAATTTCAGAAAAAAAAACTTTGCTAAATGAAAAAGGCCATTCTATCAGGTTTACAATAATAACAAGAAAAAGGTTATTATGTTCCATGATCCAACTGCTGCAAAAAGTTTGTACTAACCTAAATAATGGCAGGAAACACAGCACACTAACTTAGAACCAGAACATAAAAATAATTTAAACATCATATTCTTCCACATCCCCTGATGACCACCCACCATATACTTGCCACAAATAATTGTCAAAATAATCGGAAAATTATATGAAGCTAGCTAATATAGTTTTCCATTACTGCCGACCTATCTTCTCTTCAATATTAAAAATTCTAATCAACAAATAATAAATGTTCATACTATAGCTCCCAGAGTGCTCTCCAGTTATATGAAAAAAATAATTGAAGTTATCTGGATCTGATCAATTAAATGCATACCATCTGTTTGCAGACAAGTTGATGAGACATCAGCATGGGCATTTCGGTTGGAACAACCAGACAAATAGAGATCAATCAGCGTTTCTTCTAACCTTCATCAAGCAATTGACATCAATAAGTTACAAAGCCCATGATAAGGAAAACAATTTTGTGATAAGAACATGATAAGGCATAACAATGGACAAAGCATACCATTCTGATGGTGGACATACCATCCCATCAGCTGTTGGGTTTTCTTCTACACCAGCTGAGAGCAAAAAGAACTATATTAACATTTTTATCGAGTTTGAGATGCTATTCATGTGTTTATATTCCATATGATGGATCAACTTTGATCCAAAGACTGAAAGAGCACCAACTATAATGTCACGAATATCATTCACCTATAGCAACCCTGAATATGCAATTTTATCATGCAAAACAAAAAAAGCAATGTGCTACTTATGCACATATTATGTAGCCCGAAGCCTGGCCAAGATGTTACATACATCTTGTGTATAACCAGGAGAAAAAAATCACTAATTTTTTGTTTATAAAGATGCAGGAATTTGCACTTGGATAGCACATACATGCCTTATCTTGAGTGGTCCAAGGGGAATCACATCTTGCATTTTCAAGAGCATGAGTTTCCTTGCCCTTCTTCAGAAAAGAGGCAAAAAATACATGAGTGAGCATCAAAGAAATTAACACTTCTATGGTGACACAAGGAAGAAAATCTAATGGCAGAGTTGGAATATCTAATTGCATTGCAATGCTGAAGTATACTGGCACCAAACAGATGACCAGGCAGACCTCAAATGGAATGTTAAAACTTAAAACTGATATTGTTCCTTCTCAAAGTTGTCTGAGACCAATAAAAAGACAACATGTTTACAAACTGACTCATTAATAATAAGAAATTACACAATATTTCTAAAATTTACCTCATCGCATGGCAGTGGAATGTATCTTCCATCTTCAAATGTGTAATAAAGACCATCTCTACTGCTATAGTACCATCCAGCACTGGGATCATGATAAAACCCACTACTGCAACAGAATGAACCAAAGAAACTTGAATACTGGCCAAGTGAAGATCGCTATAACAATTAGTCGAACATTTAAGCATAAAAGCAAAGCAAGATACTAAAATTTGCACTAAGGTTAAGAAAGTGAATGCACAGACTCATTTTATATCCTGAGCTAACACAAATGGCTAAAAAACTAGAACTGATAGTGTGATGGATGCAACTTTAAAACTTCGCCCATGTTTTATAATCATCAAAAATCTCCTAGGTATCTGTTCTAATGTTTCCCTGGTCAAATCATCTTCTTACTTCTCTTTCCTAATTTGGCTACCAAAGAACTACTGCACAAACTCTCCAAGGGCCTAAGTGAAAGCTGCAAACCGCACAGGAATGCCAACTTCAATGCATGAACTTAAAGATGTTTGCATTGTTTTAACAACGAGTCTCACACCTTTATGCTTTCTCTACCTCATCCTTGCTTCAACCACATCTAAATTTTAACACTTTTGTCGGTGCCAGGTTTCCTTTTTTTTTTTTTCCAACGAACTAGCAAAATTTTCTCAATATATTATCATTCTTGTGTACTATCTAAAAATTCCATAAACAAAACCAAAATGCGAAATAAAGAAGTGGAACCTATGTAAGCGAGAATTATTGCAGCGACTCAACAGTTACGAAACAAGAGGGAAAAAAGCCCAACATCATAGAAACAAATAGAGATGGGGAACCTGGCTTTCGTTGGAGCAAAACCCTAGAACGAAGGAAAAAAGGGGGGGCGGGGGGCGGGGGGGTGGGTAAGAGGAAAGAGAAGAAAAGGAAACCCTTCAACTGGCGATAACCGAGAGAATCCGGACCTGGCGTGGTAGTAAAGCTTCGAACCGTCGTCCCACACGAAGGATGAAGAGGCATGGGTTTGCCGATCTCTCTCGAACTCTCCACCGCAACCGTCGTCCTGCTCCGGCCCCGCCATCTTCTGGCGTCGGCCTTCTCGGATCGCCCACCGTTTTGATGTGTGGAAGAGGACAAGGACTCCCTCGCAGATCGGCGGTCCGGTGAAACGGAGCAGCTTATTACGAGGAACGAGCCTGCCGCCCAAGTTGCGGATACCCCTTTGGTTTCCCAACCGAGTTTGGAGTTTGGAGTTTGGAGTTTGGAGTTTGGGTTGGGTTGAGCCTCGTTTGTTGTCTATTGATGCGCATCAAGTCGACGTTGGGCTTGGCCCAGTATTGCCCGTTTTACATGCCAACCGGAGTCTTTGGGAACATTTGTATTTTAGATGTATAATATTTAGATTTTTTTTTTTGAATGAATGTATAGTTATGAAATATTTTAAATATTTCATAAATAATATATAAAAATTATATTTTAAATATGCATCGATGCAAGTATTGTTCGATACAATTATATTTTTTAATATTTATTTAAAAGTAAATATATACTTTTATATTTAAATAAATAAATAAATGTATGTAATACTATAAAAATATTTTGTATGGCCTAGATATATAATAAATAAATATAGAATAGTATAAATGAACGTAGGTGGGCTTCATGCGTTGGCATGGTATAAGTTGTTGCTACCCCACCACGTAGGTGGGCTTCATGCGTCGTCGTCGTGTAAGTTGGCATGCGTATGGTCACACGAAACGGAAGCAAGCCTATCTATGTAACAGCTGCAGCAACATGAATTGGAAAGAGAAAGAAAAGAAATCATAGGGCAGGGCGCTCGTGTTGTTCCGACTACCGGCGTGCATGTGCCGGGAGCAGACAAAAAAGTCTGCAGTCTCCAGAGTGCTGTGAGGACGGAAGGGAGACGATCGAGGAAGAAGTCAGGGCCCTCCGAGGAATACCCCTACCACTGTGATGGATGTGACCTCCCTCTCCCTCCCAGCGGCAAAAGCCCGCCAAAGAAGAAAACTCTCTCTTTCCTCAGAGACTCCAGTTTCGTTTCTTGACTTGCAAGTTTCCGATCTTGTCCACCGATACAACTAAAACAAGAACGGCCTCATGAATTTTGATCTGTCGTGTCAGCGTCGATACACAAAGATAGTATAAATCAGTGTGCGGCCGAGAAAAGAAGAATACTTTTTTATGTCTCTCTCCGTATAACAGAAATGACATACGCGTTCACGTAATTATTCATCTTTGTATCAGCTGCGAGCTTTCTGGGTGGGAGGGAGGGAGGGCTGACCCTCTCGGATACTTGGCCTAATGGAGGTTATCATTGTAAAATGCGACCCGAGAGAAGTAAAGAGAAGGAGAGATTACAGCAGCCTAACATTCAATGATGAGCGTCACAATATCAATCGAGCTTTAATGGACATCGTTACCAGCTATACCTACTTTAATAAAGCGCGCGTACATCGGTTCATGATCGTCCCACAATCACCGTATCCATTAGGTCGATCGATCCATCCTCTTAAGTAAATCTCTGAATTATATCTTGGAGGTGTTGACGAAGAATGGAACTTAGTATTTGCTAAGAATATTAATTATATATATAGTCATTACATAAAAAGGAAAACATTCGACGAACCTATAGTTCCCCCAGAAACGATTTGTGCCTTGAATGCTCCTCCGGCCTCTTTCCACCTCGTCTGGATTTCGTCAGGATTGCAGATGCAGTTGCCGGTCAGCTAGCATTTCTCAATCTGTCTCTGGCTTTGCTTCTCCTCGAGAAGATCAACAAGTCTGTTCTTGCAAGGTGATGATAAAGCTCGATGCCGGAACTGACTTCATGGTTCCGGAAATTTGTGGCTGCTTTCACTCCAAGTGCAGCCTCCTGCACGCGCAGTTCTGAACCACACGGAATCACAGTTGAATACCCAGGCAGATTCTTCTTTGTAGATCATCGGTATCTTTTTCCTGCATGCTTCCTTGTCCTTTCTAAGACCGATGCATGATGACGATCTACTTTCCTTTCATGATATAATGATGGTGAGTAGGTGAGCGTGGAGTTATGATTTCTAAGAAGCAAACAGCACGCCTACTTCACCGAGTATACAGAACAGACTTCTCCGTTAAATATCGAAGATTGTTTACGAACAACAAGGAACAATTTAAACCACGGCACAAAAAAAAAAAAAGGAAAAGAAAAAAGAGGTGTTGAACTGCCCCCGGCGTTGTTTGCCAACTTTTGCAAGTCAATAAAGCTAAAGACCTATCTTTCAAATCAACCGTCAACTTTGGAGGTCCATCTCGCACACATACACGGCACAATATTCATGATAGGAACTCCTAGTGGAAGGTTAGCGATCACCGATTCGGCCCACAGATACATAACCGGTGGTTGAGAACCTAAAGAGTTTGATTGAATTCAGTCTAATTCCTCAATACATCATCAAATAATTGAATTCCCAATTTTTCTACTGCCAAAAGTTGCCATCGCAGTGTGTTCCCACTTGTTCAAGTGTTGTTGGTTAATACCCTTTTTGTTTAAGATCGCTGGTTAGTTCTATCGCAGTCATCGTATGATATAGCAAACAGATGTTGTGTCCGCATGGGAAGACGGGGAGCTGAGAGAGAGAGAGAGAGAAGAGATGCCTCTATGAATTTTGAACACTAATATATGGACTCCGTCGAGCATACTTGTTGCTGGAGGGATGTTAGTCTTGACCTTAGAGCAACTTTCGGACGTAACCATCGGTATCTATCTTTGTATGATATACATCACTGGTGCAACATGACCGATACCTAACAAGAATGCTTTTTCTTCGGATAAAGCCAAAACGCTCTCGTACAGTGCCAACAGTTCCAAGGCTATTCATTGCATGACGATGAATCAGACTGCCGGACAAACGTGCTACAGTTTCCGCGTTACATTGGCGAAGCTATGTGGTGGCTTTGCCTCCGACTTCATATTTTCAACCCCCACAAGTTCACATCCTTCTCATAAATGCCTCCTCCTCCTCCTTCTCAAATCTTCCTTTTTGTGTTTTTTTGCTTAATGACTCTACCTGTCAAATTTGCAGCCATTCTCGTAAGTAATCCAATTAATCGTTGTGATCATTATTAGATCACATGACGCAGTGGTCGTGAAAAACTCAAAAAACATTTTGCCATCCATCGATCAGTGCCTTGGTAAGATTTTTCAACATGTCTGGATCAGCAAATGCAAGGTAGAACGATCGATCGACAAACAAGACGAGCTCTTGATTTATTGTCGTCGAGGGAAAAAGGAGGCACGGCCTATATGTTATGCCCCATAATCACAATTCAAAATCCTATTTCATTCATACTCGACAAAGGCACACACCAGACTCGTCGTGCACATGAATGAATCCTATGCGTGCGTAGCATAACATGACCGATCGACAAGAAGATGTTTCAGAAATGAGACCAAGCAATATATCATAAAATTCGTATGATAATCGAGAATGATTTTTACCATTACGAGGGATGTCACCTTTGTCGTCCTTCATATGCTGAGATGGGGAACACAGTGTGATTCAACATGTGGGAACGATCCTCGGCTTCACTGCCAACTTCCCTCGCCCGAAATCCAAACCCAATCCAGCCACCTAATAATATTCGGAAGAAGATGACGGCTGCATTTACATATGTAGCAAGTTCCCTAACAAAGGTACGGCGGTGCCCTCTAATCATTGTGCATCGTGACATGGCCATAAATCCAATACATAATCAGGATCAAAAACCAACATATATATACTGCTATAGTTACCGTAAAGAGCTTAGGTTGGTTGCTTTGTGATCGTTTTGGAGTTCACATGCTGTGATCTGCATCGCCACAGGATTGCTGTTTTCATGATCTCCTGGAAAGTCGTTTCCAGACCACGGAGGAAGGCTGGGCAGTGCCAATGCAGGAGCCGGGCATAATGGACTTCCTCCATTAATGCCAGTCCTCCTGCAGTACTCGATTCTTGGGTAGTCCATCATCGGCGACGCCATAGTTGGCGGAACGGTTAACCCCATGGGGATCTCGTTGCAGGCATAACGGAGGAGTTCGGCATTGGCAGCATCGAGCTCTTTCTGGAGCCTCTGGACCTGGCGTTGGAGCACGGAGATAGCGCCGACGCAGCCGTAGACGGGGTCCTTAACCCGGGCTTCCGCCTCGTAGGCCAGAGAGTTGACGGCGTCCTCCCGCTGGTGAGGGAGCAGCTCGTTGAGGAGCTTGGTCACGTTGCTGGCCCCAAATACCTTGTGGACATTGGCAAACTTCTGCGGCTCCTCCGGGGGAAAGTAGGGTGCAAAGATGCAGCCCGGCATGCACTTCCTCCTCAAGAACTTGCAGGCAGCACAAGGAGAGTTGGAGGAAGAACTTGATGATGCCATTACCCGACTGCATACACCGAGAACGGTATATACTTTTTTTCATTTACTTTTTTGGGGAAAAATCTGCTAGTTTGATCTGATTTCAATCGATGGACGGCTGCTGGCCCCTCGAGGGCCTGCTCATGATGTTCAATATTAGGGATAGGGTTCGAGGAAGAATGATCGGAACCAAATTTTTTTTTCCATGTTGCAAGCTCTTCAGATCTCTAAAATCTAGTGGCAGCCTGAAGCATGCTGCTGATGTGAGTCAGCACACGGATCAGTATGGCCAGGGTTGTGCACTTCCTCTCATGATTGCGGTCATCATAAATATACTCAAATGACGATGAGACAATAGAAAAAGAAACGGTACAAACAAGTGAAATCCTAGATATGATAATCTCTCTGCATGCGTGTAGAAATCACTGTTGACGAACATAGAATAAAGCGAAGCGCAAGTATACCTCTCTGAGATCTGGCGGGGGATTTGCTCAGAGGAGTCAGTATCTTTTGCCCTCGGCTGAGCCCTCTTTCCAGCGGCAGAAGCAGAAGCAGATCTGATCAGTTTTTCCAGAATCCAAGCAACTGCAGTAACGAAATTACAAAAATGAGAGTTTTGAGACTTCTCCTATCAGCTGAGAGCAAATCAAAGCAAAAGCGTGGAGAGGCATAACCAAACCCTTAGCTGGAGAGAGAGAGAGAGAGAGAGGGAGAGAGAGAGAGAGGAAGGTGCAGCAAAAAGGAAGGCAAGGTGGAGGGAGAAAACCCAAGTATTTAGTGCGAGAAGAAGAATGTGGATGTGGTAAAGCTAATATACAAATACAAATGAGAAAAGACTGTAATTTATGTGAGCACATTCAAAAAGCGACCGTCGCACTACACACACAGAGAATATCTTGTACTATACGCTTCTGATCCTTTGGTAGACTAAATTCTTTACACGATTTTTAGGCTCCCATCGAGCAAGGACTCCATGAGTCGTAGGCTATCTGCACTCGTAACTTATTGGTAATGTCAAATGATTTGAGAGCACAGACCTCTGATATAAATTAAACAAAAACAAATCATCTGTAGTCAGCATTATTAAGAGACTCGACACGTGTGAGGGTCAAAGAAAGGAGGCAACCTGATGCAAAATTTAGTGGGACCAAAGGCATCTATCTATCTATACTTTACAATTAACCGTAAGCTTATCTACGAATAGCGTCTAAAATAATTTCCCTGTACAGATGTGATATATGTGATTCCTATGTTCTTTTCTGCAATCAAATTACAGGGCGAGTTACTGCTGTAGATATATCAAGCCGCATTTCTCTTTATGGAGTCGCGTGCGGTTACACGATGGGACAGGAAAAACTAATCAAATAGAAATTAAATGTCTTTTCTTTGAAGTTCTTCGAGGACAGTGGTATCGAGAGATTAAGGACACACTGCTTTCTGGATTTAGCCCGTGCATGCATGTTATACATCAACTCCTCCTTTCACTTTTCACTTGTCGTGTTAAACTGCATTGCTGCAAAATATACTTAATACATAATATTCCAGTACAAACTATGTGTGCAGTATGCAAAATCAAATGACAGTCTGAGTTATTGGAAAGAAAAAAAAACTTTTATCAATTGAAGAACCCGTGAGTCTTGTAAAGCCGCTCGAACTATATCGGTGTAACCTAAATTATTTGGCGACACATATGGGAAGAGGATTTGCTTTCTTTCCGAATCATAGTAATTGTCGCGATGATATTTGGAGAACGTGAAACACCAGCACCAAGCACTCGTTTACGAGTTAAACACATCTCTGGTTCTCAACTCAATGAAAGCTACAACAGATTCTCTATAGATTGTAGAGGCCTCGTAGTTCTTCGCGGAGAGGTGTTTTGCGTTATGGGAGAGTGATCGATCGAACATCATTATGCATTTCATCAGGGTAGCGTTGTTTAGCTGTGTTTTCTATTTTGTATGAACTGCCGTCGATGTAGAGGTGAGGTTTTTAATTTGGTTTTCTGTTATCGGAGAGAGAATCAGGTTGTGTTAATCTTGATTGCTATCTTACACGTTTCAATAGTTACATGAGAGATACATAGAGGTCGACAGTCATAAAGATGGCAGTAAATGTGATGTAGATCATAAGATATATCGCTGTAGCTCTCTTATGTTAGTAGGAGGTTTTAGCACATCATGCGGATGCAAAAAAGGATGTATATATGGAGCGACAGTATCCATCATATTAGCATGAGAAATTAGGAGGTTTCGAGTCAGATAGATAATCTCAAGGGAAAAGAAAAGACCTGATGATCCCAACATCTTCCCTGGTGCAAGTGTCCCCCCTGATCCCTCGAGTTTTGAGCATTATGATGACCTTGTCCTCTACAGGCTTGATTGCCTCACCCACATTCTCGGTCTGAGACATAGGCTGGTGTAGTCATTGCACCTCGGTCGTAGGTCTCCGACGATGTCCGATGGATCGCTGTCCACCGGGTTCTGTTCGGCTGTTGGCCAAGCAAGCAAGCGTGTAGAGCAGCAGCCTTTCAAACTTTATATAGTTGCTGTCTTGTATGGATGCGTTGGTGCAACTAAAGGCCAACTTCTATACATCCAAACAATGGATCGGGACGCTGACAGCCAGGTTTCTGTGCGCTCGTTGATCGATCGCACATCCAAGAGGCTGGATTATGGTTGCTTGTTTGGCCTAAGATAGGTCATGTCCAGTTTTACTACCACTCCACAGGCTGCGAAGAAGGGCATGCAACAACTGCATCTTCCTCTTGAATCGGATCAGACATCGAGTATCGAGGAGTCTTCCACGAGCTTCGTAGTTTCCTGATCACGTTTTGGACGAAACACAAGGTTAAAGATAGGTTTTTTTTTTTTTTTTTTTTTTTTTTGAGGGGTGGGGAGTGTCTAGAACATTATATTTGCACGTTGTATGCAAAAAATCCAAAGATTTAATTGAAGGAAGCACTGATGCGTTCGTTCAGCACATACAACTCTCGAGTAGTATTATACGTATTCAATTCCTAATCAAGTGGCTTCGTTTCGTCCTGTCCGACGACGAGATTGAGAGTAAGTAAGACGATCGATCCATAAGCAGGTTTTACTTCCCACGATGCTCGAGGTCCAAGATAACAATCATTATTTGGATCGAACCAGCTAAGCTCGCGCAGCGTAATTATTGGGATCACAGACGTAACCGAGGTAGGTACCAACGTACCATGCAACAGGAATAACCAGGCCATTATTTCCTCGTCTCCACCCGGCGCTGCTGTTCACCTACCACCGACGACTGTTGTCGGTTCATGTCACGTCTTATCTATTCAAAAAGATGTTCCATCGGCATTTGGTCAAACGCAACCCGACCAAACTGTGTTTCGGTGCGGAACACTGTGCGCGTGAGTAAATGGATCGTGAAGGCTGCGGTCCACGGAATCACATCCATCGGGGCCATCCAGTCGAATATTGTTTAACGATTATACAACATACAATCACCATCATCCCCTGTGTTGTTGCTTGCTCTCAACGAAGCAGGTCTACAATATCTTGTTCCTCTCCGGTATGGATGCCATGGATATGGTCGGTTATTACCGACCGATATTCTCGCTGCCGATGATCCCTTTATCACCGGGTGATGCTCCTTCCTGTGTGCCTACACGCACAGTTACCCGAATCAAATCGAAAGATATCCGGACCGTAGAATCATGCGATCCAGACCAAGCGAGTTGACTCGATCTCCAAAACGTAAATCTAATGGACTCGGGTTGACTCGTGAGTCGACTCGGTACAATCGGTTGCTCGTCCGAGTCGGCCTCGAGTTTACAGAGTCGACTCGATGTCTCTCTCTCTCTCTATCTCTATATATCTATATATATATATACATATATATATATATATATATATATATATCTATCTATATGTATATATATGTATTTATATATATACATATGTATATATATATACATACATATATATAAATATATACATATATATACATATACATATATATGTATATATATATACATATACAT